AACGGGTTTTGGGTTCGATCCACACGGGATCCAACATGTATCTAATTAATTTAAAAGTCGAAAATAAATTGAAAAAAATTTCGACTCGGGCAGGACATGAACCGGCATCATCAGCTTTCCGTGCTGTTGCTCTACCAATTGAGCTACCGAGTCCTACACCTCATCGTCGCATTTTTTCAACTTATTGATACATGCACCTCTCGTGCAATGTAATTTCAACCTTAACACTTGCGTATTAAGGTTCAATGTCTTATGCGTTGCAAAAAAATTCAATTTATTTTCGAGTTTTAAATTATATAGTGCCTCTATGTGCAATAAATAACATGTGAAAAATGTTTTCAAATGTTTCTAATTTATTCGAAACATGTTGGACTTTAGAGATGTGGATATTAAATGGATGGTATGAATATCGAAATTCCCCCCGGGTCACAGGTAAACCGCCCGTGCAGTTTAATCTCCTTTCGGTTTCAGTCTGTGGATTTCTATTTAAAATAGGCCGACAGCTCATCTTCTTTAGATGTTATATGGCTGAAATATTTCATCTTCCATGAAGTGAACCCCGTGCCTGTCTGTCCTCCGCTATCATAAAAAAAGTTACACGGTCCAGGAAAAGTAGAATCTTATCTGTCCCATCAAATCCGATATCGATCTAAAACCTATATTAATTAAGTGCCTCGTTAAATTCCATTCCGAAACTTCTGAAGATTGTAAATAACAAGTTTAAATGTTATTAGACGTTTCCAAGTCGGCTAGCGGTAAAATGACGCTTTCATTCCATCATCCGCAAGATTGGAATCGCACGTCTTCAGTAGCCATTAAGTTGTCTCGAAATATTACTTAAAGCCAGCATTCCTTAGGCGTCTCTGCGTCGGCTAGATAATCGACGCTACCGTATGGAAATCAAATGAGTGGCTGTTAAAATTTATATTATCGCCTACGCGTTTCCTAATTTGGCAGTTTTAAATGGTCGGACACAAAATTCTTGTGTCAGAGGCCACGTTTGCTAAATTGTCCAAGCGTGTGAATCATTCTCGTTGAATTTAATGTTTAGTTCTGTAATCCAAGATCAGTGCTAGTCGTCAATCCATACTTATATTAAGCTGAAGAGTTTGTTTGTTCGAACGCGCTATGGTTGAATGCTTCTTTAGGTTTTGGAAATAGAGGTAGGTATGAAACATCGCGAAGTGACAAATAGGAGCGAAAAAAGCGGGAAATGAAAAAAAAAATGCCCAATATCGCTAATTATACGTATATATCTACAATCGAAAGGGTTACGAACGATCAAATACACAAAGATATTAGTTAGTATGTTATTTATACGGCTTTTTAAGCACATTAAATCAAGTTGATGTAGCAGTGAAAAAAACATTACGGTTGAATAAATAACCTCATGACGGCACGCATATAGATAAGAATGGAATTTTACTTTTGATTAGAAACGGGAGAACTGCTGCCTTTATCGCATAATTGTATAGATAAAATTGAAGAATATGTTTAATTTACACGCATTTACTCTTTATGAAGGGTAATAAATTCCACTTAATTTTTCCACTGCGCAACCGAGAATCGCTTCTGACAATTTCGACGATAATCCGTTGGAATCTCAAACGGCATATTTGATATCTCCGATTTATTAAAAAACAACTCGATAGTGATTACATTAGCATAGTAATTGCTTCTCGATCTAAGGCGTGTAAAATCAAGGATACTTTTAATTGAGAAATATTTAGTATTGTGCTGAATTGTACGCGCCACACCCGTATTTGCATAGTGGGTTTTATTACAATAAAGGAATGCAGCGGGGACGGAGCTGTATAAATAACAGAATCAAGATCCTCAAGTCGAGAAACGCAACACAACGCCTAGCCCCTCAAACGTCACGCTTGAAGACGCGCGTAGTGCGTGGGAAGTATCTACACGAGGCTTTACACATACTTAGGTTACACAATCTTAAAGACAGCTACGTTACAAGACCAATACTTATAAAATGTAAATTGCGAATGTTACGAGAAAAAAGTAAACAATAAAATATCACGCATTATATCGCGCAGTAAGAATTGACACCTCGTTTATTTAGAATCATGATTAATGCAAATAAACAGTGCGGACGGAGGAGCGAACTCATTTTCCCACGAGCGCGCACGCAGTTATTTTAGCGCAAATTTCACCTGCAACATGGTATTACGCGTTAACACTGCGTAGGAATGTAGATAGAACAATGTGTTGCATTCGAATGGGTTAATTAAAGTAATAAGAGCCGACAACGCTATAATTCTCAGTGGCTGGTTAATCGACGCTATCATTGTCTTCGTCGCTTCCTTGCTTAACGAGACAATAGATGGTTTTTCCTCAATTTACAATGAGTAGCTGTCAAACGCTCATTCGACGTTTTTCATTAACCTTTGCACGCATGCACGTTGCACACGGTTCCTAGAGCTGATAAATCCTTTATTCAATACTAGCTGTTGCCCACGAAGTTCCGCGTCCCGTCATTGCAAGTTAATCTTAGTTTTTGGGCTTGAACCGTTTTCGCAATTCACGCAACGGAAGTTGAATTATTTTCCTGGTTTTTTTTTAATTTCTACGTTCTTGTCTATTGCTTGCATCACATGTCCCAAAGCCTTCCTCGAGAAGTGGTCTATCAAACTTTTTATTATTTTTTTACATTGAATCAATAGTTTTTAAGATTAGCGTGCAAACAAACAAACTCTTCAGCGTTATAACATTAGTATAAATCTATATCTTGACAACCGTATGACCCTGTACCCGTGACCGCGGCTGCTGCATCCGAAACGTAGAGCCATAGTTAAAATAATGTTTAAATAAGTTTAAAATATTTGTCGTTTTAAACCGATTAATGTGTTTTATTTAAAACAAACACTAAAACCAAAAAATATATATTTGGTTTTCGTGTGTCGGGGAGGCTTCATAATCACCAGAATTTCAATTACAAACATGTTAAATGGTAATTCATTGCTTATAAGCCATAGGTATATTGTTACTACAAGACCAAAATACACAATAATAAGTGCAAATAAGAAACAATGCGTTATGTGTCATGAACGTTTAATTAATTTTCTCCTTATAGGCCTATAATATAGTTCGAGGACATGGCACGAGCTATTTTTAGCATTAATAAATTGGCTTAGCTCGGTTTGCTGAGCACATTTTGCAAGTTGACATCGTATATATAGTTAGTTGACAGACGTAACTATGCAATTAATAACAATGCAGGGGGCTACTCTGTTTATGCAGAGGATAGACAAGGGTGAAGTTCACTATTGAAGATAGAATAACCCAGCTAAATATCTAAATAAAATGTGCTGTCGGCCTCTATATTTCGCTCTAATGTCAACATAGGTCGACAGCGCAATAACGAATTAAGAATTACACGTCTCTGATTTTACATCTGTGGACGATTGTTCGTAAACCGATATTTCTTGGTGGTACTCATGTAACACCCAGATAAAACAAAATTAACTAAGTCTAGAGATGAAATTTTTCAGTTAAATTATAAACCTGATTTTCAGGAACATTTTAAACCTAGTAGGAATCGAAGTCACGACCCGATTATCAGTTATACATTGCTCCATTCTTCCATTGCACCAGTGAGCCTACACATACATATTTGTAGCCGGTTAGCAGTTAAAGAAACCACGATATCGATAGTGTCCATCGATTCAACGAGATTACGACTCTTGTCTGTAAATAGCATTTAAACATGCTAATTACAAGATTCACAATAAATTACTGCTAATTAAACAGACTGCGCTTTGTACGATTAAGACAACTTAATGTTTCCTGTATTAATAGCCGATTTATTGTGACTCGAAACCTTATCTATAGAATATCTTGAACGTTTATTTAATATCAACTCATATGTCGCTGTTTGACAGTTTTTAACGAAAAGGCGAATATGGGTATTATTTTTTAAAATTAAGCGCCTCAAACAGCGTTAATCGTAACAAAGCACAATATTCGTATAAAGCGTTCAGCTATCCAGAAGCAGTGGCGACAAAAACATCTACAATCCTCACTCTAAATGAGTGAAATAGCTCAAACATGATCTCGTCTTGAAATTTTTCATCCCATACACGGTTTACCGTTGCGATGACCTATTCAAGAAGTGACATCTACTAAATACTTCCTCGATAGAGCTGTCCTGTCTCGCTTAATTGGATCACAAAGTGCAATTTACAGTTAGGCGCGTTGCAGGTGTCATCTTCGGTATGAAAGACAATGATGCAGGTGCCGAATTAATGGATACTAGACATGATCGGCATTCGGTAGGATGTGTCTTGCACCTGCGACTCGGTGGTACGATATCGAGGGGTTCGCGGGGCGGGGGGTGCGCTTTAGAAAGGCGCTACCATCGCTTCAGGCCTGAGCCGCATTCTACGGCCTGTCATTCACACCGCACAACTTGCCTATGCAATGCATTCCATCTCCCGCGCATGTATCTACGCACTGCACCTACATATGCACGCGCTTACGAAACACCCGACACCAGCGTCCGCGCATTCAAATTCCAATACATAAACGCTTCATCGAATTATTTCTGCGCCAACTAGCTTCGCTATTAACCAGTTCCGTGGCCCCATTACTCGCGTTCCGTCACCGCTCGCCGATTAAACGCACTCTAACGAAATCGAGCACAATACGCATTCCTAAGGATAACAGAATGATAACCACTATTATTTGTGTTTAGGTCATTTGTTGTTAGTCAATTATGGAATGTCGTGTGAAATCGGCTAGGTTGTGCGCGTTTTCGGACAGAGCGCGACACTGTCGCGGCGAGAACAGTTTGTTTTGCACAATTTATTTCAACCTACGGCAATGTTTATCTTTTAAACCCTTTTCAGATCACACCTAATACAATTACACACACATCTGTTGGGATACAGCTATCTAATTACATCCGAATAAAGCACAAATCGCATTGGAATGTTAGTTTTGACATGGGGCTCTCAGGGGTTAACACTCCTCTTGGGAAAACTTACCTGTCTCGCGGGTCAATCCACGTCGTTTTCCTACTGTTGTGATCGATAAAATACAGTTTACCGTCGAAGTCCCTCGCGTAATCCCATCCGTCGGGCAAGGGTATCTCACCGTTTCGTCTCCTTGGCATATTTCACTGATTAAATCCATTCAAACGAATAACGAAGCACTCGCGAACTAGCTACACGGCCATGTTGAATAGCTCATTACGAAGAGTGACGTCACGTGGGATCGGCCAATGGCGGCGAAGGGCCCCCACGATGGAATGCGGCGCGTACGCGAACGCGAACACTGAGTTCCGTACGTGACTCGAGCGTCACGGAATATACACACGACCGCTTTGCGCGAACACTGGTCGCTGACTGAGCGGCGCGGTCGGAACGCCACGTTATCACCACTCATGATAATATCCAGCTAAACTGTCTAAACATTCCTTGACCACAATGTTTACATTTGGCACCACTCTACATAGGCTAATATACTCGACGAAAAGTCACTTCAGCAAAAATAACAGTAGGTACAAATATCCATTCGGTCTATTTACGATCCCCCTGTAGTTATATACTTGGTGTACGTATATGGCGCGCATTCCATAGCACATGTAGACGTACTTAGCTATAAGTATTAAGTACAGATCACAGCCACAGTGTAGTGTCTTGTACCTACTTTGTGAATACACTTTGCATAATATTGCATTTTATGGCTGTATTTTTGTTGTAGTATTATAATCTAGGAGTGTTTTTTTCTACTCATTCCAATGTACTAGATTATTTTTTAATAAATTATTTGCATGGTCAAAACTAATCGGTATTTTATAAATAAGTGATTGATGTTTAAAGCCCCAAATATGTATATTATTTTAGTACTACAACAAGACTCCCTGAACCTTAGTTAAAATTTACAAACAAAATAAAATTGACAATCGACAAAGAGCTACAATATAACAATCTACAACAAAACTAAAATAGTGCCAACCGTTTAGCTCTTAAAATATTCGCATACTTGTAGCACCTTAACAATAAATAACTGAAAAAAAAAAATAAGTGGGTCTCTCATACATAAGAGGCTGCAAAAGGCCATTTTAAAAAAAAATTGTTGAAAATTTATCGATAATTACAGATAATTAAAATAACCACGAAAAGGTTATTCTTTAGTAACCGCAGTTTATTTAATCGGTATTAATGGCTGGTTTTTATAATAAATAATAAATACAAATATTCTTTATTGTCACTAAACATAGCAATAAATAAAAATGGATGAAAATGAAAGAGCTGTTTGGGCTTTATAGCTAAATAGCTATCTCTTCCAAGCAACCGCCGTAAAAAAGGAAACTCATTAATAAAAGAGGAACCTATGCGAAAAAAAATATATACCTAACGACTTTTTAGTTTATTTACTTGAAATTTTTGTTCGTATTAATGCGAGCGATGCGCATATTGTGATTAACCTACAAAACGCCATGTCGTAAACAAATTTAATTAATCAGATAATATTAGTTTTATTGAAAAAATCATGTTATAAATTACATGAAACACTACAAATGTATAATGTTATATATGTATTTATTATAATAAGTTTTGGGTAATAAGTGACGAAACATGATATGTTTTTTTTATATATGTATATCTTCGTTTGAATACCTTTTCAGCTTGTCGCAAAAAAAATATAAACTTATCGATGTCCTTATACTTAGTACACTATATGTGTAAGTATATATTTTTACATTTTGTACATATGCCATGCTTTTAAGAATTTCAACATTCAAAGTGACAGATTGTCATTGATGACAGTGACAGACTTGTGTACCCCATTTACGAAACGTCACCATCAAAATTAAACATCAAAAGTTTTATTGTGTTCAAGTGAGGTTTTTAAAAACACGTAGACAATAATTTGGTAATTAATTATTCTATAGTTCAATGCTAGACGTGTAAACCTTAAAATGTCGAAGCAAAGTGATAGCGAAGATTTCGAAAGCGCTGACGAAGGGCAAACACTACAAACGAAAAAAGAAAAAAAGGAAATTAAAAAACTAGCAGCTTCCACAAAAAATGTGAGTATTCTACTAGTTTATATCTATTTGTTGTAAATTCCTGAAAAATAACTACTTTTTAGATACTTTTAGCCGTAATGGCATTTCACAAATAAATATCCATTTCATATATATATATTATTTTTAATTTTTTATATTATAATAAACAAGATGTTTTACTTTTTTTTGTGTACATATTTGTCCATCTTACCTCACTCTTTACCTTTAAACATGTAGGGTTAACCCACAGAATACTGATAAAATTTGAATTCTTAACTGTATAATGCTATACCCTAAAAATTTCAGGTAGAGCAAACAGATGGTTGGGATGATTTCGACATAGAGGAAACTGAAGCAGTTGAAATAAGTAAAAGTAACAAGAAGGATGAAACAGAAAAACCAACATCTCAAGATACTGGTTGGGAGGCTTTTGACGATTGGGGTGAAAATGACAATAATAAAGTGGAAGAGGTGAAATTAATATTTTTACATTTAGGGCTTTGAACAGACACATTTCTGTCAAGTAGGTGGTTAGGCTTTTGCTAGCCCAGTGTCTCGCAAACTGTGTGCCGCGGCACACTGGTGTGCCGCGGGAGAATGTTAAGTGTGCCGCAAAAGATTTTCCAAGTTGCACTAGATATTCTGAGATTAATCTATAAACCAATTTCTGATAACTATAAAATTACCCAAAAAGTAATAATTTAACTTTAACTAAATAACCCAGACCGCAGGTACTCGTAACAACAAGATGCACAAGCGAGGGCGAATTGGTTAGAAAAGCACTGGGCGCGGTTTTTCCCCCACTCAACGTATTTAATAATGTAATTTAGCTTAGTGTGCCGCGGAAAAAAAATCATCAGTTAGCGTGCCGCAGACTAAAAAAGTTTGCGAGACACTGTGCTAGCCTGTTTAAAATGTTACCAACCTGAGCTACAAATGTGATGATTGGATAAGCCTTCTCTTGTAAAATAATGTTATTACATAAATTCTTGACTAAGGACATAAACATTTGAGCTGATGACAATTTAAGCTTTATTATTTAGATATTCAGTAAAACATATTTTCAGGTTAAGCCAAATACAAAAAGCACAAAAGATGTACATAAATCTCAAGAGCAAGCAGACATACAAGCGGTTACAGAAAGGTTAGCAGCTGCAACTACCAAAAATGAAGGCTGGGGCTGGGGTGGATGGGGGGTTGATTCCCTACTCAGTACTGCCACAGCTGGTATTAGTACGCTTACTAGTCAAGTCTCACAGGTAAACTCATAAAAAAATTAAAATAAGCCATTGTTGTATTACTATACAAGTATCCTTAACCACTAACATTTTATTTCTCATCTTAGCTAATATCTAGCCTTCCAGCATAGGCCTTCTTTAAAGACTTGCATGTTTCTGTGACTTCTGCGAGTCTCATCCAGTTTGGTCCGACTAAATTTTTCAAATTATCAACATACCTTTTATACAGTCTTCCCTTCCTTCTTTTACCTTCGCTTAAATACCATTTTGTGATATGTCTGTCTGTTCTATCTCTAGGTATATGCCCAGCCTATTTTTATTTAAATTTTTGTCTTTTCATATATTCTAATTTAACTTTGTCACAAAGTCCCATCATTTATATTATCTTATGATGTAAACAACATGTAAGAATAATTTATTTAGCTTACATAGTTCTTGTCACTATAGTACTACAGTATTATAATTTTTAACTGTATTTAGTTATAAGGTATTTTATGGTGTCAAAAAATAGTTAAAAAGGGGAAGAACATTGTTATGGGATTTTTATTGTTGTGTTTCTAAATAACCTATTTTAAACATTCCTGTTTCTGAAATTCAATATACAATGTAATTGCAATTTATAAATAGAATAGCAAGATTTAAAGAAGTGTTATATTAAACTTAAAATAGTGCATAATCATAGTGAAATAAAATATATTTAAGCTAAAAGAAAATCCCTAGTTTCATATTACTTTTGAATAATTCCAGGGTATTTCAACAGTACTAGAAACTGGTATTGGAGCTCCTGACCCCGAAGAGTTGGCAAGAGCTACCAAGGAGAAGGCAGTCAATCAGGAAACCAATGTTGAAGAACAGCCAACTGCACAAGACACAACTTTCCAATTTGGCAGTCTTCTGTCTGGGGTGACTAAGTTTGTTGAAACCACTGGTGAGAAATACATAATCTATACTAATACATATAGTTTGTTTGTTTGAATGCAGAAACTACTGGTACAGTTGAAAATTTTTTTTTGTCCGGTTAGAGCATTTTACTAATAACTAATTTATGAAGGCTTAAAGCTAATGGGAATGCGTGGTGAGAACGTTTTAAATATACCAAAAATTCTGTATGAAAGAAGGATTCCTTTTTACATGAACTAAAAAATGTCTGCAACAGTATATATATCTATCTTTTAAGTACCTCATAACAACAAGGAGACGGTACGACATTGTTTTTGATGCCCACAGTAACTATTCTATGCGGACGAAGTCGCTGTCACAGTTAGTTAATATAATGTTTTTCATTTTCTTTGTCTTTTATTTGTAGTGCATGAATAGTGTTGTTGTTATTTTTCGCACCAAATTAATAACCATTTAAAAAATTACAAATTCAGAGTTCTATTTACCATTTTACTCAAACAATAAAAACAAATTACAGGAACTAAAGTCATATCTGGTGGCTTAGATACACTAGAAGTAATTGGCAAGAAGACGATGGAAGTTCTCCAAGATGGTGATCCAGGCCTAGTGAAGAAACGAGCCATGCTAGGACTTGATACAGAAAAACCTATATTGTCCCAGATACTCCGGGAGGCAAAGGAGCGTGCTGATGAAGAAGACAAAATGAGGGAGGCCAAGAGGGAAGCTAAGGAGGTTCATTACGAGACGTTATTTGATGATTTTGAAGGTGCGTGCTGTTACATAGAAATTTATAATTTTGTATTTGATGATATGGAGAGAGGTACTCTGGCAAGACTCATAAATATTATTATAATAGTGCTTTTTTCTTACCAAACCTCTGACTTATTCAACAAACAGGTTTGAATTATTGTTATATTTGGTAACTAAAAATAAATAAAAGGTCAAAAATGTATGAACTATCAAGTTTCTAAGGTAAATTTCTTGTATTTCAGGTCTTGTTCATCTGGAAGCATTAGAGATGCTATCACGCCAAGTCAGCATGAGAATAGAAGAACGTTTGAGAAGTGCAGATGCAGATAAGAGACAAGATATCAAGGAGACCATGCAACAGGTGGCGGGTGAGTTTTTTAGTAACCCAATAATTAAGTAACTACAATAGATTGAGCTGTATTGAAATATTCATCGGTGTAATGGATTAGTTCAAAGATACGGATTTTATTTATAGAATAAGATTATGATTTACTTTATTTACATAAAATGTTTGTAAAAATTCACATTTAATTTTATTTCTAATTTTCTAAACAATGAACACACGGCCTTCAGTGATCATTTACTGGTGCTTTTATATATTTTTCCATTCAGATATAACTTATAATATGTACCTGCAATATATATATTTGATCGAGCGAGTCGGAAGGAAGACATAAAAAATTACTTATTTAATTTAAGCACATAATGATTTTTCAGAACTCTGTGAAATGCCAGAAGACGATGACGATGATGATGATGATGAAGAGCACGGAGACTCATCGAAGGAGGATGTGTTCCATGAGAGATTGCAGCGGGCTACAAGGGATATTGGACTAAAGTTGCAGTTCCAACCTCTTATTAAGTATGACCTATATTTGTACAAAATATACAAATAATTATAAGTAGCCCTGATGAAACTGAAATGTCAAAATTATCAGCAATCTTACCTTGATTTCGTCATCGCAAAAGTGCCTGATTTCTATAAAGCATTGCCGATACGCTTGAAGTTCTAATTTAGGTCCATGTGTCCCCATGTGGCAGAAACGGGACTCCAAATTTATATTTTTACTAAACTCTGGTTTTTTCTGATGATTTCTTATATATTTTTACTATTTTATTAACCTGGCTAATAATAAATATATTCCTTTATGCGAAGTTAATTATTAGTTTTGTTAAAATCTTTGAAGTTGGTTCTTTTTTGCTAAAAAAAGATTAATTTGTAATCTTAAAAGTTGCTGAATGTCAAACATATTTCATTACATAACTTTAGCCTTAGACCTGCAACCAACTTGGTATCCATGCAATTTTATTAGTCTTAGGAAAGTCCGTTAGTTACTTGCTTGCAAACACATTACTATCACTCCATTGATTCATTTTATAAGACACGTTACTTCTTTGCAGATTGAGATGCTAATAATTCCCCTCCACGTCTTAATAATTTCAGACAATACACGGACATATTGCAATGGCTGGATGCCACTGAAGTCGTGAACGAGAAGGCTATATATAAGCGGGCGGTGAGCGGCTTAGCCCAAGCGACCGCTCTCTGTGTTGAGCTATACCACAAAACAGCTGAGATGTTGCTGGTGAAGAATCGAAGGTCTACAGCTGATGAGGCAGATGCACTTACGCAGTTAGCATATTTTAATATGATAAAAATATTTTTTTTTTAGAAAAATTACTTGTTTTCTAACAGAGTTTCCTTGTATCTTCTACACCTACAACAAAACGAATTTCTATCTAACAAGTGACTTACTTACTTACTCAGTAAGAATTAATCAACACTATTTTTTTTCAGGCTGACAGTTGTATTGTCAAAACATGTGAGTGAGATGGCCACACTCTTTACTGAAAAGTTAAGCAAACAACCCAGTGAGGATAAAGAGCTTATCAACAATTATATCACGAACGTTTTTCTAGAGGTAAGTGGATTCTAGTACAGTAATCCACCATCTGATGATACAGACAAGCAAGGGTTCACTCGTTGGAATTGGCTATATAACTCTGACGGGATGCCCTGTCGATCTATTGTGGCTTTAGCTTTCGGAAATCTGCAGACTGAAACAGAAATGCGATAAAATTATACAGCTTTTTCGCCTGTGGGCGGTGTTTCGTGAACTGGATACAATTTTCTACCAATCGTTTAATAACAACAGTTTCACGAAATCTAGAATAATTAAAAAAAAAATAAACATGTTGGACCACATGGGAGTCGAACCCACGCCCCGTTGATTATTACCAATATAGTAGCGTTATTAGTTAGTTATTATAACATATATTACTTTGTTTCAGGCTGGAAACAGTTCAAAGTACGTCGAAAACGCGTTCCAACTTACATTACCGATTATCCAAATAGGTGCAGTTTAATGTGATTATATCCATGATAGTAATATATTTTAGTTGTAAATGTTATAATTAATATAAATTATAAATGTATTTTATACGTTGAATATAAATAAATGTTTTTTGTGCTTATAACCATTTTCCTTTATTGTATAAAGCGCCATCTGTTAGTGTAAAATTTAGACTAAAAATGCTGTTCGAGTATAAGAAATAAATTGCATTATTATTATTTAGAGTGTATGTAATATAGATCACAATATGTTGGGTGGTTCAAATGTTAAAATTAAAGACTAAATAATACATAGAATGCATGTCTACATAATTATAAATTGGGGAGGAAATTGGTATATAGACTACTGTGGGCAGTAAGTATGGCTTATCCCATAGTTATATTTAGGTAAGTACATATAATAATAAAATAAAGTTAATAAATCAATTAAGTATGAATCGAAAAATAGTATTGCCATAAAGTGAGACCAACCTATTTATGTTAGAAACTTTTTACTTAAACGTTAATTTAACTACACGTACGAATGTAATAATCTATACTAATATACAAGACTGATGAGTTTGTGTGTTTGTTTGTTTGAACGCGCTAATCTCAGGAACTACGAGTTCAAATTGAACAATTTTCATTTTTGTGTTATAAAACATCGCCATGTGACTTATACAAGCGAAGATACAGCAGGAAATGTGAAAAAAATTGGGAAAATTATTCATTATTATGGGTTTCTGAGGCGTACGCTGCAAAAACGGTTCAAAATACCCAACAAATATGTAAATAATTATGTAAAGAGAATAATTCATCTTTAAACAATCTAAAAAAAGTCCGCGATGCTATATTTTTTATTTTCTTATGACAATCATCCTAAGACCGCAATCGTGAATAGAAACTACCGAAATATACTTAGAACGAGACAAATTGAACCACCTGTTTTCTTGACTACTGAAAGGTAATAAGGATATGCCTAAGAGTAAAATATAACATAGAAAGAAAGTGGGCCTAACGTAATGTATTATATAAACCTCACTACTAAATAACTTAATTAATTCTTAAATAGAATATTAAAATGCAAAGCAAGTGTGGAGCATAGCTATAGATCAGACGTAAGGAACTCATGGCGCTGACAAATTTTTGAGTATCACTGACATTTTTAGAGATACTTACAAACTGATTTGTTTAGGATAATACTTTAATATTCTATTTCAACTACCATTACCTTAATCGTGTTTTATTTTGGTTTAAACATTTAAATTTCTAGAAAAATGGCCACAAAATTTAAAACCTAATACGGCCCCTATACCAAAATGGTTGGTTAGCTTATATAAGGTGAAATAAAAAATGAATAAATAAGATTTATTTACTTAAGCTTCCTTAAGCCGATGTGTAATGCGAAAAAGAATATGAGATTTTATGTGATTATTCAGAGTAATAAAAATAATTTTAATTGAAAAAAACACGGTCGGGATTTGAACCGGCATTCACTCCGTTTTCAACTTGCTCTAATCAATTGAGCTACCATGTCCTACCATTTAATTCGTCCATGGAACGCAGTGAATCTAAAATTCCATTTTTTATTTTTGTAATGTGCAATAACATATGAAAACTATTAAAGTTTTGAATATGGTTACATTTTATTTGGGAAACTTTTGAAGTCTTATCCACATACAGCTAGCCATTTTCGCGCCAAAAATGCAACAATATCGGCCCACATCTGCCAAAGGGTTGCCTTGCGATTTTGGCATTTCGCAACACGTGATGCGGTTACGGTTTTCTGAGAACTTATATTGAATTCGATTCTATAAAGTGAATAAGATGGATTGAGGAAAACATATGGTTTGCTATCGAGACCGAGCGAGAGGAACTAATGATTTGGACACGGCGGTATAGTTATTGATGCGACAAATCGCACATAGTAAACAGCGATGCATCTAGCGACTGAAACAAATGTATAGCAATCTATACTAATATATTAAGCTGAATAGTTTGTTTTTTGAACGCGCTAATCTCAGAAACTACGGGTTCGAATTGAAAAAAAATAATTGTGTTGTTAGAGCGAGGAAGGATAAAACATCACGGTGTGTCTAATAGGAGCGAAGTAACAACAGGAGATATGGAAAAGATGAATACATCTTTGTGAGTTTCTGCGTTTGTTTCACTGCCCGGTTTTCTTTAGACGCAAGTAGTTGATCATACCTCAGTGCCGTGCCCGACCGGAACAATCTATTGTTTCCCAGGGATTCGAACCCAGGACCTCGCGCTTATCGCAATGCTAGACAACACATTTAACCATTTAGCTACATAGCCGGTCTATATGTAATTACAGCTTTTTATTAAACATAACATATGTTTGAAATTTTAGGTAACTCTCCTAAGGATACAGAACAAAGACTTGCATTATAATTGTAAAGAACTTAACGCACGAGAAATTAAGTTATAGGTATTCAAGTCATTATTATGTTTGGACAGTTCATTTATAACAAAATGCATGGGTCATATAGAGAAATTCACGAGTCATGGACGCACCTGGTTGTGTTTGTAAGGGTTAAATTTGGTCAATTTAGCGTCATTGTCCCATGTACATATATACAGTTTCATATGTATATTAATATTTTAGCTTTTAATATATTTATTACTAACTTATTATATATGTAGGATATTGGTTGAACCGTTGCAGGGTAAAAAGCAGTTTAAATTTACACATAACTATTAACTATTTTTATAAACGGTCTCGGGTACGAGACAGAGGAACTATTATTTAAGGAAGCAAGGAAGGGAAGGGAATTTTTCTATGTCCGCTCGATGTATCTAAACTTTCTGAAAGAAGATAAATTAACCTTGAAACAGTTTAATTAACGCAAGCTCTCGTTAGCTTTTATATCAGCCGTTGACGTCGAATTTTTTTATGTTAAACGTGCCAAAATGCCTAAATTCAACTCAATAAGATTAATAACAGATGCGTTATGCACCTTTGAAAGGTGTAAGCCGAACGTTAGAATGCGCACGCGTTTGATTTATGACCGACATCGGCAATTGTCATTCAGTTAAAGAGTTTCCTGCCATTACCGAATATGGCGAGTTATTGATCGGCATACAAAGTGGATTATTGAGGAACAAGATCTGATACGCTACAAATAATGTTAAACTATTATATCTCGTAGTTCAGCTTATCTTTCCGGAGAGAAGACACAATTTACAGTATTTAACCTTATGATCGCATGTTAAAGTAAGACTTTATCTAATATATAAAATTCTCGTGTCACGGTGTTCGAACTTGAACTCCTCCGAACCGGCTCGACCGATTTTCACCAAATTTCATATGTGTATTCAGTAGGTCTGAGAATAGGATAACATCTATTTTTCATCCCTCTAAGTGATAAGGGTTGTTCACCCTTATATTTATTTTAAATTTTTTAGACAATTTTTTTAATTTCTACTTTTTTATGATACAACATACAAAAATACATACAATCCTCAATTTTCACCCTTCTACGATCAACCCTTATTTTTTAATAGACATTTTAGTAAAATTATTTATATGGCAAAACAACGTTTGCCGGCTCAGCTAGTCGTCTATAAAATTACTACTTAGGCTACTTTTTATTGCGAAAAGGGTTTGAAAGTTTGTATGGAAATTCGTGTTTTTTTGAAGAGAAATCAATGAAACTTTCTTCTTTGGCTTTTTGGAAATAGAAGTGGGAGTGGGGGTGGTAGTGATAGTGGTAGTAGGTGTAGGAATGAGAGTAGGAGTGATGTGAGGTGAGTGTTGCGGCAAAGTAGCACTTACAGCTTAGTTTGGCTGCCTTAAATGCGCCCTTACATAAATTAATAAAGAGCCTAAATAATTAAAAATTCTACCCCAAGTCACTATTTCACGCGGACGAAGTCGCGGGCACAGCTAGTATAGTAATAAAAAAACAGTTGAAGTATTATATAAAGTAATAACTTATTTAGAAGAAGTTGTAGTATTCTTCTGCATACCACTGAACAATTTAAAATATATAAAAAAGGTAGTTAAGCCGTAACTATACTGAAGCCTGACTTTTAACTTAGGTTATTTAGTTTATATGAAAGTACATCTTTCTTAGACATTAAAGGAAAAATCATTAGTAATTCTAAAAGAGTCGTGCACAAAACTCTATTCCGCAATAAAAGACAAAGCCATTTTTTTTGTAGATCAATGCTAGCCACCGGTAGAGGATGTGAAATGTCCTATTGTTTTAGAAAACAATGTCATTCGTGACGATTTTATTGGATCAGTATTTAAATGAAAAATATAACTTAGTTGTCGTTAAGAATTCTGAAAAGATATAATTATGTTATCATTTTCTTATCTCCATTATATCAAATATATGATTGTAATCTATTTTTGTCGTTTCACAAAGTTAAAAATTCTATTTGTTGGACGCAGAACAAAAACTATACTTCGTTCCCGGAGGTTCGAATCCTGGACCTATGCACTTAACGCCAGTGCAAAGTATTTTCACTGTTGAGCTTTGAAGAAAGAAAGATTTCAAAGATTTCCTGTCGTGTTAAAGATAATGACAACAATAGTATCAGATATCGCGTTTATCTTTTGAAAACGAACTTTTTATAGTAGGATGTATATTTGGCAAAAAAGGCGGCCAAGTTATTTTTTTTTATATCAGACAGACAGACGCAATATTGCAAAATTTTGCTAAGCTTTTACTATACATATAAAGGACCAAAAAAGTCCTACCTAAATTACCTAATATCTGATCAGAAAAACGATCACGGAAGTTTTCGCCTATGCCCCACGAAGGAAACGGGACTTTACCATCTGCAATTAAAAGATAACTTAATAAGAACTTAGTTTTAACAGATTGTCATAAAACCTAGTTCATAGAACATAGATGGGAAGGGCTTTTATTTTCTAAACTCCTTACAAGTTAAATACTGTCTATAGATTACGCGAGTAGTACACATTTAAATAAAACACTTTAACCGTTTAAAACGCGATATATTATGCTGCAAAGCATCCGAAACGTCCGGCTGAAGTTAA